AATATGTGGAGTGTGCGTTCCATTGTCTTCCAGACTTGCCTTATTTATATGCAGACAGAGATTATTAGAAGCCATTTACTTACTATGGAAAAATATACATAAGTATGCAAAAAGCGCTCGTTTTTGTTGTTTGCTTTTGGCAAACATGTTCATGTTAATGTTCGTGATCTTGTTTGTTGGACAGTATGATAAGATTCTGGTTTTTTGGTTGAATAAACTACCATTAGAACTGCTTGTCATCCACCTGAAGTGATGTGTTTGATCATTCCTAGGGGATACCCTAAGACTATGGCCAGTGTGGTAAGATAATATGCAAACACATTTGTCGACTTTCGCCATTGCATTGAACGCTGTTTTAGAGTGTTTTTCGGGAGCTCTTGGAATCCATCAGTATATGACATAGGTATGAGAATAAACTGAGAAGGATTATTAAGTTTTGTCACAAAAGAAGGCATTTGAATTAACTACATCAAGTACAATTTAAATCTAGTTTTTTAAATATTAATTTCATTACTATTTATGGGTTTTTTGTAAAATTTTTCCCGCTTTACACTGTCGATTGTTGTTAACCATTTTGATTTTTCCATTTTGTTTAATTAGGTAGAAAAGGCTGCCTGTACTCTCAACATTAAGATATGCTTACCTCAGTTGTTAATTCATAATGTTTTTAAGAAATGTGAATAAATTGAAAACTTCATACTCAAGTGGTTCTCTTCCATCAACTTTTGTATTTAAAACTAATTCATTATAATAATTCAAAAAATGTTTAAGTAAGGCCAGGTCGCTATAGCTTAGGCCAGCATAGCTTATCTGCAATTTTAATTGCCTTTAAGCTGTATATAAATAAAAAATAAATATTAGTTCCATTAGTCAAGTGGCTCTCTTCGCTGAAAAAAATGACAAATATGCAGTCCAGCAGCATTCAGAATCAGAACCTGAACCCAAAGATAAAGCAATTCATGAAAACGTTCCAAGAATTTTGATCGAAAAAGGGGCTTCAAATTTTGAGGCGGCTCCTACAACGCCGAAGCCAAGCGGGCCACGCGCACAGAGGTGCTCAAACAGGTTTTGTAAAATGTACAGTTATATGTAAGTATATGGTATTTGTACACACACACGTACATACTTGTATGTACGTGTATGTATGTAGCTTTGGAGTCATCAAGAAAGCAAGCTGCTTACCAGCACAGCACTCTGATTGCAATGCCGAAAAACCACAATAGCCATGGCGTTGACTCTGAGTGATTAATTCTAGTTGAATTCGATTTGGCTTAGTCACAGCTTTGTCTTGGGTTGTTTTTAGTTTTAGAGTTCAGATTGACTGACTGACTAAGTGACTGACTGACTGACTGACTGACTGAATCCAAACAATTAGCATACCCGTATGCAAATATGTGTGTGGAGCTTAGTCTGATGTCATGTTCCGAAAAAGCTAAGCAAATCGACAGATTATAAAAATGACAGAGAACAAAGTCGTTTCTCAAATATATTCAATGTATTGAGATTTATAAAATATATTGAGATATATTAAATATATTAAGATACATAAAATATATTGAGACATATAAAATATATTGAGATGTCTGGAAATAAAGACAATACTTTTTACATTATTTTGATATATTAAATATATTGAGATTTATAAATTATATTGATATATATTAAACTAATATTATAAAGAGGAAAGATTTGATTGTTTGTTTGTTTATTTGTTTATTTGAATTGAAAAGGCTCCCAAACTACTAGACCGATTTAAAGGATTCTTCAATTTAATATATTGAGATATCTGAAAATAAAGACAATAAAGACTTTTGAAATTATTTTGAGCTTTCTTGATAGCCTCTCTTCTTGAATTTTATATTCTTTTTCCGGGTTTCTTTCAAGTAGTTACGGTATTTTGTATGTTTGGCTTAGTGTCGCGCATAAATGGGCTTTAGGCCCCAACCACAACTATTTTTGTCCAATTAAGTTCTCCCATCCATGCGTCCATGCGTCCATCCGTCCAGCCATCCATCTAAATCCTTATCAAATTGGGCTCCCATTGTTTGTTGGTACTTGAATGTTTTCTTATTTTTGCATTGCTGTCCAATTTATCGTATTAAGTTAAATAAACATAGTGGTTAGAGTTTGCCGCAATATGAGACATGTGATAAAGTCACAAAACTGTCAGCCCGAGCGACACATCGTAGCAACAAAAATTAAAGCACTAAGCAAAAATAAAGTAAAATAAATGTGTAAACAATTACGTGAGACGGTCGAGCTCGAGCTCGTACAGCGATAAGAAAACCGAAGCATTTAGTTTGCATTTTTCGAAGGTTATCTTTTTTACGCAATGTGCGAGAGGTGGGGAACGCTTTTTGTTTCCGTGAACAGTGATATATAATCTTATATAATCTGATATATATCAAAATCAATGTCTGCCGTTCAGCCTGTTCTATATAGGCGTTCCAACTACTGGGCCCATTGTCATGAAACCTATACAGTAAGATAAGCTATCATGCCGGGCTGAAGGTGTGCCCATGAATTATTTGACAGCCAGAAAATGCTTTGAACTAATCGACGAATCGAATTTCTACGCATAAAAAACCTATCCTATGTTGACAAGAAACTATAAGGCTGTGAAGATTCTACAACGAACGAGCAGTGAACTACTTATTTCAATTTATTCACTTTCCTTAAAAAAATTAATAATATCTTAATGTTAAGAATACAGGCAGCTTAGCCTCTTCTACTTAATTAAACAAAACGGAGAAATTTAAAAAGTTAAACAGCAATCGACTGTTTAAGGCGGGAAAAAATATACAAAAAATGTCTGGGGTTTTTTGCTTTATGACTGAAACCTAACTTAATACTGAACTACTTATTATTTGTACAAAATATATAATTTATATGCAAGTATGTAGAGTACAAATATATATTATTGAATCCAATTCAACTTTCGCTATTTGTTGCTAATCTGTAGTGGAAAAGTGCCAGAGAAGGCTGTAGATCATTTTCAGCCCAAACTGGGGCCTCACAGCAGATAATAGCTTGGAATATTGATCTGAAAAGATACATTTTGTTTTCTGTGCCAAACTAGTTACTTGTAGTGAAGGAAATGAAATTTCACACAAAAACGAGCTCAGGAGTTATTCCTTATGGTGCCGATACATTGCTCCGCAATGGTCTTTCAAACAAATATCCCTGAATGTGGAACCAGTCCGTTCTTGTGGCAGTTATACTTGTATGATAAAGTGATCTGCTCTTAGACATATCTATATATATATATATAAGAAGCAAATAAAATGTTTGAATGCATATGGCAAGGGGAAAAAAGAACTCACTTTTTGTACCCTTGTGTAACTTGAGGTCCAGTTCAATATGTGTCACATACACATGGCAATCATTACCAATCATTACTTTAATGTGTGGGATAAATATATGAGAAGTACAGAAATGGGGGCGTCGCATATTGATAAGGAAATAAGGCTGAATATATGCGATGCTGATGTGGAAATGTATTTATAAAATCAGTGCCTCATAAGAAATGTACAGTCAATCTTTCGGCCCATTTAAACGATGCATACTAAGTATAAAATAATAATGATTTCAGCAACTAAAGATCGTGATATTAAAAACCGCTACATTACTTTTATTTACTTTCGCATTTTTATTTAATTATATTTAAGTCAACTTGACTTGCGACATAGGAAAGGAAGAATACACGTATATACAAACTATATAAAACAAATCGTATATTGTAAGCTCACCCCGCCTCACAACCAAGTGTGGTCGGAGGCGTCAATATAAAAAGAAAACTTAACACAGAAAAGCTTAGAAATTAATTAATAGCTATTTAAAAATAGGAAAAAAGAAAATAAAAAATTTAAGTGGAATCTCAGATCGTTGGTCTACGGTGAGAATCCAGTCTCGTTTTTAGCCTTGGATGCCAGCATTGTGGGCATTATGGTATTGTACTATATAAACCAGACGATATGCCAGCCATATTCTCAAGCGCCACCAATCAGACAACCCCCAGACTCCCCGTACAGTTTCATCTCATATGATGATTTAAGATCAAAATGTAGAACATTTGTAGAGCAATTGCAATCGTTATACAACCCTCGCTTAACACGACTTCTTTTAATACGAACTCGGTGTAACTCGCTTAAAAATTTGCTAGCTTTTCTCTTTTAACACGCTGAAAACTTCATTCTTTCGCGATAGCTTGGAAAGACCATTCCAGTTGATAAGAGAGTTGGACAAAATTCTTTTCCTTATAAGGTTGGCTACAAAAATCCGCCAAAAGCCATTAAATAATTGGAAACACCTTTCTTTTGCAAGCAACAGGCCCAGCACAAGCAAAAAAAATACATATTTGGCACGAAAACGGCTTACATTTAATTCAAATATATGCTAATGCCACTTTCCAGCTGCTTCGAGATTTTTTGCACTTAGAAATATTTTCCGTTTTATCCGTTTTAATAAGATTAATCTGGTAATGATAATACTCCACACTTGGAATAACTTTTTGCTAATTTTGAAAATGTTTGGACCTTAGAAACACCAGAAATTTAAATAAGGAAAAGTTTTGTTCGTGCATTTGTCGAAATCTAGGAACGTAACCCCATATTTTGTGTGGAGTCCATGTCTCGTTGAACACGATTTCGTTTAACACGAGGCTTTCTAGGAACGTAACCCCCGTGTTAAGCGAGGGCTCGGTATGTACATATATCAGAGAGGTCCGAGGCTCAAATACCTGTGGACTGCACAATGGCCTTCCGTGTCCGATCTTATCTATTTCGAGATTATTAATTAAATTCTGGTAACGGGCCGTTGAACGATTACTCAGTGGGCGTTGTGTTTTACATACAAATATATACATATATACTGCACATATGTACATACATATATACAAACGAATCCATACATTTGTTGATCAGAAGATGCCAGATTCGGAAGCATACACACATGCGAGTACTACGAGTATGACAAACACATCGAATTCTACACAATTTCAGATCACACGCAGCATACAACAAATTGTCAATTAAATAATAAATTATCATACATAGCTCAAATTCAATGAAGAAATGAATTTGTTGGAGCAACAAGTCCATTAATAAATCAATGAATCGAGCATTAAATTAAAGGAACGACATTTGGGGCCCAGTTTCGAGTGAAATATTTGGTGACGCCTTAGCCAGGCACATGGCCAGTCTGTTCGAAAGGAGGACAGCATTTTAACCGTTATTGCCACGTTTTAATCGCGCCGGAACGGATAAGCCAGAGGGTGCAGGAGGCATAGGAAGAGAGTAAGTAGAGGAGGCAAGCCACAGCCAGAGCCACAGCCACAGCCACAGCCATGGGAAACTCATCGTCACACACACACGAACCACTCGAGCGCGGCTTCACACGCGGAAAATTCGGTGATGTCAAGAATGGGGTAGGTTTGTGGCAAAAGCAACAAAGACAACAAAAACAACAAAAGCAACAATAGCCACCAATGCAGGGGTTGATCTATTCTGCTAGCACTTGTCTATCTCATTAGCCCTTGAATAATATTTTTTTTGTTAATGCCTATTTGCAACTATAATGATTCTGATACGTACATATATTGCAGAAGTCGGCCTCATTTCGATTTAGCAAGAAATCACCAAAGAAAATGGATCGTCTGCGACGTTCGTTTCGGGACTCGTTTCGTCGCCGAAAGGATCGCGTCCCCGAATCATCCAAGCCACATCAATGGCAGGCCGATGAGGAGGCTGTCCGTTCGGCAACCTGCTCCTTTGGGGTCAAATACTTGGGATGCGTCGAGGTTTTCGAGTCCCGTGGCATGCAGGTGTGCGAGGAGGCGCTCAAGGTCCTCAGAGTAAGTGTCCATTAACAATCTCACAAGAGAAGAGAAGGGAAAACCCGTTCGTCAGATCTTTGATTAACAAATTTAAAAGATGATTAACTCCAATTGCTAATCTCAAATATAAATTGGGGAACGTAACAATACTTGTTCGAAATTTCTTGTGGAATCTCCCCGTGCAATATTCCCTTCTAGTTGTACTTGACTATTTCTTGATCCAAAGAGAATACTAATGGTGATTATCTGTTGCTTGCAGAACTCTCGCCGACGCCCCGTGCGTGGTCTGCTCCATGTGAGTGGGGATGGGCTGCGCGTAGTCGATGACGAAACCAAGGGCCTTATTGTAGATCAGACCATTGAGAAGGTCAGTTTTTGTGCGCCGGATCGCAACACTGAGCGCGGGTTCAGTTACATTTGTCGCGATGGCACCACCCGTCGTTGGATGTGTCACGGCTTCCTGGCCTGTCGCGATTCCGGCGAACGTCTCTCCCATGCCGTCGGATGCGCATTCGCCGTCTGCTTGGAGCGGAAGCAGCGTCGCGACAAGGAGTGCGGCGTCACGATGACATTCGACACCAAGAATTCGACCTTCACACGCACCGGATCCTTCCGACAGCAGACGCTGACCGAACGGCTGGCAGTAGCCAGCAACGAGCGCAGTGTGGATGCGCCCGCACTGCCCGCCGCCGCCGTAAAGCCGTACAATCCGTTCGCCATCGAACGGCCACATGCAACTCCCAATATGCTCGAGCGGCAAGGCTCATTTAGGCTGAGCACCATTGGCAGTCAGTCGCCATTCAAGCGGCAAATGTCGCTTCGCGTCAACGATCTTCCGTCCAATGCTGATCGGCAGAAGGCGTTCCTGGCGGCAGCCGCTGGCGGTACCTTTGGAGGCGGCAGCTCGCTGCATACGCCGATTCGCAGCGTCTCCCCCATAGCCGAGGCATCGCCGGGAAAGTCGTCGTCCGGGGAGCTGGGCGCCGACACAGTCAGTCAGTTGTGTCAGGAGCTGAGCCAGGGTCTGTCGCTGCTCTCGCAAACCGACGCCCTGCTTCCGACCGGCGACGATTTGAATTTCAACAACAACCATAGCGTTAATCAGAACATCATTGCCGCCGAAAAGCAACAACAGGTCGTCTCGTACAGCGCCACGCCAACCGCGCAGGTGACGCCGCGTATTGCCAGAGTGTCGCCAAACAGTTGCAATTACCAGACCCAGGCCTTGGCGTCGCCCACGCGCTCCGAGCAAGGCATGGAGTTGGCCACTCTGCCCAATGCCGACCAGTGGCTGGGCCAGGTGGTGCGCAGCACATCGCCAGCGACGACAGCCCCCACTGTGCCGGCGCCACCGAAACGACCCACGTATCTGGCCAATGTGGGACGCTCCCAGACCTTCGCAGCCAGAGCCAGCGCCAGCGCCAGCTCCAATTCTGAATCTCAATCTCCCGGCGGCGACGCATCTGATCCCTTCGATGCCGAATGGGCGGCCAACGTGGCAGCCGCCAAGCAACTGGCGTCTCCAAAACTTCCACAAGCACCATCCCCAGCATCCGCGCTTCCCAGGCACAGCACGAACCCGTTCATCTCACCACCAAAGGCACCGGCGCAAACCTTCCAGGTGCAGCTGTAAGCTAGTGGGCTTGCGGCGGGGCGGGACTAAGTGTGGTTTACTTGAAAAACATAACTTATGGGATTGTGCGGTCGAGGTTCGGGTTCGGAGCTAGTTCTCGAGCGGCTTAGTCCGATTTTCACTATAAAATTGACATGTGCAATGAAAGAAGAGGAATTACGAATAAAAGACAATGGGAATTCGGCCCAGAATGAAATGAAATTATTAACTGAACGATCGGTGACTGTGACTGCACGAAAATAGTGAAAATGGGGCTAGTATGATAGTCTCGCTTGATCACATTCTAAGGCTCCACGCGAGTTGCCGAGTATCCCCGAGTATCTGGGGCATTTGGGCAATGGGGCGTCTGCGTACACCTGTACTAACTAATTAAGCTGATAGCTCTTAATAAGTTTCCATAGCTTAAATAAATGATTGGACCTATGAACTACTTCAAACCGAACTGACACAACTTTTTAAATTATTATACATAGTAGAAAGTAAAGGAGGATTGGGAGAGTAATGGAAGGACGGGAACGGAGATTGAGATTGAAGTGGAGATGGAGGTGGAGATGGAGGTGGAGATTTAACGGCCGACAAACACTTAACGGTGAACATCACTAATGTGAAATTACTTACACACACACACAGAAGATAAACACTTTTACAGTTACTTAAAGGCATGCGCAACAAAGATAGTTAACTATGGAAATAGGCTTAATATTGTTTACAACCCATACATAAATACACACACACACACACATATACACAGATCGAGATCAAGTAACGCTAACTCTACGAATATAAGCTGTACCAGACTTATGTATCGCCTCCACCCCAGAGAGGGGGGGGATGTTCTAAACATGATATCGTGATTTTAAACTTGAAACCTGCCTCTGGCTTACCTTTTTATATGCTTTATTGTAATAGTACGTGTTGACCAAACCAATATGCCCGCACACATACGGATATTATAGAGTATCTGTGGCAGGATGTCTGGGCCAAACACTTTCCTCGTGCGTTCCATGTTTCGGCGTTTGTATCAGTTTTAATTTTATTTTCAATTTGTACAAAATGTATTATACTTAAATTATAGTTTGACGCAAAGGAAGGATCACGCTGATCGAAAGCAAGCTAAACAATTTAAAGTCTAACGAGCATTACTGTTACATAGATATCTATACTAAGTACCAATGCAATGCGAGAATAATACACACACAGACACACACACACACACACAGAAGCGCTTGTATATACGAGTACTACTTATATATAAACATTATACAATATTGTAGCATAAAGGAGATACAAGAAATATACAATTTTGTGCTTTATAAACATTTAGTTTTTGAGTTTTTATTTGACGATGGGATTTTCATTTGTACGCTTTAAAGGATTGGTTTCGAATAATCACAGAATGTGGCGTCATTTGCTTTATTTCTTACCCATATTTTCTTTTTAGTTACGTAGAATAAGCGAGCCTTCACTTTTCCTCCTCACCCTTTCCTCCGTACATTAAGAAAATTCGACTTTGTCAACAAATGCACCAAATACTATCAAATAGTATTAATAGGGAAATAAAGACGCACAACGGATATCATATTCAAAATATATAAATTAAGCAACAAGAAAGTATTTAAAAACCCTTCACCACAACCTGCACCTGACCTGTTTACCTTTGCGAATTCCTTTCCAAATAACCGAACAACAATGTTCCCAGCACACTATTTGTCTACCCTCTGCCCTTTGGCATATAAGATTATAAACATACAAGTATATAGAATCAGGATCAGCATGGCGAGACGAGTCCACTTTTTTCGTATTTAACGGACATATTATGCTATAAAATGAGCACCGCCTTAAGGTAGAATATTTAAAAAATAAATTACCAATAAACTGTAAATTAATCCTTATCCATGAACTTGTTCTCTCCAATTTCGAGCTATAATTCTATAATAACTACTTATTCGTTATGTAAACATCTGTTTTCTCGAACTCCAATTTTAGGGTCGAGGAGGCAACACTATTTAGTAAACTCCATTCCATGAACTCCTCAAATATAGATATATATATAATATTTGTTTGTTGTGAGACTCGTCCCGTCATGCTGATGACATCGATCTTAAGTTGTTGTCCTTTCGAAGACGAGAAGAGAAGTCTCAAGTTAGAAAAGAAAACGACTAGTTTAATGGCTTGTAGATATCCATTGCGACTGCACATAATATGGCTAAGAACATTCAGATAGAAAATGCATATCGTTTCGTTTAACGTTTGAAACTAATAATATTAAAAGGTACATGGTATTCGTCATATGTTATGATACGAGTATACTCTACTTTAATACAATACATGTTTTCGTTAAGTTTTTAAATTCGACTATTTTAAATAAAACGCCGTTATGGATATTCAACGAACAAACATCTGTACAACAATAATTTGAGCGTTCAATAAAAATGAAATAAATAAATTTAAAAACATGCAACAATTGTGTTCGACCATTAATACTCAAAGGAGTTCAATCGCGTTGGTTTCTCCGTTGATTTCATAAAACGTGCCAAACATTTTGGGGAAATTCAGGCAGCTAAAAAGCTCTACTTAGGTCTTGAAATCAAGCCTAAAATGGAGTTAACTTAATAATTATTATAAACAAATGATAATTATCTCCGTGCACCATAAGAATTGCTGCCCTCTGCCATCGCGGGATTCGCGTATCATTTTGTTCAAAAGAAGGGTGCTTAGCTCATTATTAAAGGGCAGCTTACTCGCAGAAGAAGTATGTATTTATGGTTGGAAATATCTCCCGCTGATCTCCATACTGAGATTAAGAGAATTATCTAGCATTCTAAAGGGCGGAGAAAAGGCGATTGCTGCCAAGTCCAGAACGAGAATTAGAGAAAGATGACCAGAGTCCAGGTCAGTGTAGTCTTTAATTGTTACTTTAGCTTGACTATAGAGATAGAAATTCCAGAAGGGTTTGTAGATTTTTTGAGTAGCTGCGATATCTCTTTGGGCAGCGGTTGGGAAAACACATGATCCCTTGAAATACGTAAAAGGATTAGGACTTTTCCACATAATATTTCAAGCTTGCCTCGGCAGACAGAATGTTGCCTCTTTGTCTCATCTTCCCAATACACCTAATTCTGTTTGAAAATTAAAAATTTTATATATACTTTATTCCATTTAGCACGATTCAGTCGTGTAAAAAGTACATTGATCATATGTTATTTTGAACCGTGCTAAATGGAATAAAGTCATGAAACCATATATACAATTAGAATTAGGTGTATATTGTAAGCCGAAGCAGCACCTAGTTGAACCTTCTCTATACGAATAAGTGTGATTGGATAGAGTTTTTAATTAAAGTAGCAGCAGCACATTAATTTGCGAAACATCTATTATTATCTATGAGTTCTTAAGATGTTTGGAAATGCCCTTCGCACTCCATATGTTGGTTGTCCTCAATGTGTCTGAATCACTGGGATTAACTTTTGAGAGTGCATATAAATCATATACATAAAGCTTCATTGCAGTCAAATTGAAAAAAATTGAAATTCTACAAATTATATTAAAAGAATATAAAAATTTTCAAGCTCAATTGAAGAGAGCATCAGAGTGTCCGTGAACTAGCACAAAAGGTAAGCATAAGGGAGGTTTAACAGCTCCTATTCTAGGATAAGACTAAAGGCAGGCTCAGAAATGGCTGTACTTGTAGGAATATCTGTTACACGCTCCGAGGTGCCATTTGTCTGGTTCAACGAGGATGTGCAGCAGAAGAGAAAAGAGGCGTACTTGACGAGGATATCATTCTCGATGAAAGGCTCACATTCAAACTCTGTCTCTGTCGCAGTCGAAGAAAATTAGCAAATCTAAGCGCTGATGGTCCGTTTTTAATATACACCTAATTCTGTTTTTACATGGTTTTGATTTAACACGGTTTGAACATTAAAAATGTTATATATGGTTACACGGCTTTATTTCATTTGGCACGATTCATTTTGCATTTGATCCATGTCTTTTTTTACACGGTCTTTACACGACTTTTACACAATCTACCGTGTAAAAACAGAATTAGGTGTAACCTGTTTTCGGTTCAGAAATACTCTTTTTACGCATTTCATTTTTTTTAAAATTAATCAAACAATATTAGAGTCTTGCGGCTCCGCCCTTAAGCACCCAGTACGCGATTCCAAAAATAGCAATAAATGTAATAAAATAAACATTTTATTTAGAGAAAAATAAATCAAATAAAAATAAACAAATCATTTGCAAAATTTCCGTCGGAGCATTTATTGATGAACTTCTGTGGTTGCACGAATTTGCACCTGGTTTGAGTCTATGCTTCTGTGTACAGTGCGGATCTCAACCAAAGCAGCAGCAATACAGTCCTGGCTATAAAAGTCGACCTCTCCAGATGAAATTAATATGAGGGACAAATTAAAGGAGATAAAAAATCACGGGAGCTACAAAACAGCACTAATAGCGGGGTGGAGTGAGTGTCGAGAATGCTGCTAAACAATACAAAAACTGTTCATATCAACACGGAAATGTGTAATGTAGTGAGCCCCGTATTTCCTTTCGTGTATTTTGTAGCCAAGACACGCGACACTGCTTATATCGTGGCGAAGTACCCCATTTCTATGTTCTATGTTATGCGCATAATAATATAGTTTTCCGCGTTTGTCCACTATGCACTGCTTGTACTGCTTAAATGACGAATAAAATCAGGGATAAATAGAATAAGATTTTTCCAAATCATTTGCATTAAGAAAATGTCATGCTAAAATAAAATTCTACGTGCATTCACAATTAAATACTAACTTTTATAGCAGTACTGCTTTTTCTTAACATATTGTTGCAATGTTCTATGTATTTGTGAAGTAACAGTGGATTCAATTTTCTACGTTTCTATGTTTTACAATATGCACTGCTTGGTAAAATAGAAACATAGCCGGAAAGGCTATTTTCGATGTTTTTGATGTCCATGCACAATCTGTGTGTGGCAAGGCAAGCAGTCACATAATGTTTACCGTAAAATCAAGCAGTGCTGGCGAATATCCGGCACGCGTATACGCAATTAAATATGCATGTGTGTGTGTCGATTATGTTATGGGTTTCAATAATTTATTAAGATAGAAAGCAATGGCTTTAATTTGTGATTTACTAAGGTGTATTGTTGTTTTTAATACTTATAAGATAAAGATTAAGACAAGTACATACATACTCTCTCATATGTATCTCATTTGTTTTTTTTTTTTTTAGAGAGACGAGGGCACAGAATTATTAAAGTAGTTGCAAAAACTTTTGCCGCACTTCAATTGCCGTGGCTGGCCTGTCATGTGATCAGAGCAAAACTTTTTGAATGTCTCTCCAACGCTCCCTGCATTTTAATGAACTGTCGATGAACTTAAGAATAAATAAGCAAAGCAAATTGAAATTTAGTTCAGCCAACAAATCTGAGCCAAGTCATATTTTTCAAATTTGTTCCTAAAATTTATATGAATTACATTTTTTGCGCTGCACTCCAAATGTACTCATATGTACCCGTATGTATGCTTCAAATACGACTAACGAGAGCTGAATTCTATTTATAAATTATATATTATTTTTTAATTTAGCAACATGCGTTCTCCCATTATTTGCATTAGCCAAAGTTTTTTCACTCCCTTGTACTTTTCTAGAAGCTATTTCTTGTTTCCGAAAGAGTTAACTATTTCCACAATAGGGCGCAGGTCTACTCACTGAATGAGTTTCCAATTTCCTCATCAGGATCTTAGCTTTTTAAATGCTAGTAAGACATAACCGGCATGAAAGCAAAAGTTTTGCTTCACAAGCTACTGAGCACTGGACTGAATCAGACAAATGAGTATTAAAGGATAAATCTTCTTTTGACGCATCCGAATTATTCTTGCCAATCGACCGCAGTACTACTTAGCAGCATTTGCTGAAATTAAATTCCATTTGCTTCCTTCGGCTGCTCGTGTTGATTCAATGCTGCCTCCAACACCTAGCAGAAATAAAAGCGATATTTAGACAAACACGGTAATACAATAATCCTGATTCGGCAACTTTTATTGGACTCTTGCCTACAGCTACTGCTTTACCCATATTTCCTATGGAACTAACAAGTGATTCTAAAAAGCATTATAGAGTCAAAAGAGTGGGAAATAAAATGTTTGTATCAGTTCCACCATCAAAAAAGGTGACAAACTTTTGTAGAATATTTTGGACAAAACCAGCCCGGGCCTAATTTAATTTCAATCTGGTCGAAACAATGACGATTCAAAAGGGAAAAGAAAATGCAGGTGCCCAATTCTTCTTTGACACAATTATTTAGTGAATA